TCTGTAATCAGCCCACCATCCGCCCAAGCAGCAGCAACTTCCATGAACTACCCTACTCCTCTCCTCTGCCAGACACTCTCCATATCAAGTTTGGAAGAGGGGAGAAGATTAAACCACTTATTGTCTCCCCCACCACCCCCACCCCCGTCCAAATCTGCTTGCGGCATGCTGCTGCCACGAACGTCTCCACCAATCCCCTCGACGTCACCGCTCTCCACGTCGCTGCCGTCATGATCGCCACCTCCGTCGTCGTCATAATTGTTGTTGTTGTTAGTGTTGTTGTTGTTGTTGTTGATGTTGTTGCCGCCGTCGCTGTTGTTGTTGCTGTCCCCCGTCTCATCCTGCTCGCCCATCTCACCCGATCCCCACTCACCTTCATCATTGTTGTTGTTGTTGTTGTTGTTGGCACCAGCGCTGTTGTTGTTGTTGTTGTCGCTGTTGACACCCCCAGTCCCCTCGACATCACCACGCACTGCCCCGCTGCTGTCGTTGTTGCCACCAGCATCTTTGTTACATCTTCGACGCCACAATGGTCCTACCGGACCCGACTTAGGGCCAGAGGGACACAGTAGGGCCTAAAGGCCCGGACTTGGGGTACAGCAGGCCGTGAAGGCCACGTTTTTGGACCAGACCGACGGGCAGGCCCAAACGACATTCTCGTATTGGACCTGGCGGTGCTTTTGAACCTGCCGCCCGCCGATCTGATCTGAACCGTCGATCTCGACGGTTGAGGTCACGGCCAGGCCTCGCAGCATTGAGGCCGGCCTCTTGGCCACCGGTACTTATACCGGTACCAGCCTCATTGAGAGGAATCGAGCCACCGGCATGCTGCATCATGCCAGTGCGTATCGGTTGAGGAGCAGCGCTATTCTTAGCGCAGGAGCAGCAGCAGCAGCAGCAGCAGCGCGAGCTAGCACAGCAGCAGCGCCGAGGAGAGCAGCCAGACAGCGGACAGCCATCACCGACTTCGGCTGCAGGCAGTTGCGACGGACCAGGTATCCGGGGGTGAGGTCTTCTCCTCCCTCCACGGTCCCTGGCTCCCCTCTTCCTCACCTCCTCCTCCTCTATCTCATTTCTTCTTCTTCTTCTTCTTCTTCTTCTTCTTCTTCTTCTTCTTCTTCTTCTTCTTCAGACTTCTTCTTCTTCTTCTTCTTCTTCTTCTTCTTCTTCTTCTTCAGACTTCTTCTTCTTCTTCTTCTTCTTCTTCTTCTTCTTCTTCTTCTTCTTCTTCTTCTTCTTCTTCTTC